GATTATCATTCCATAATAACTATTACTACCTCTTAAGCACCTGTTCCAGAAGAAATTTATTTTGTCCATGTGGAAGGCTCTTCTGGCCAATCTCCATATAATTCAGTCATGGGGAAAAATGCGGGTGAGTCACTTCCCTCAGCACAGGGCCAATGACTGCACCATGCTAGAGGGCATTTTTTCTCTCTTCTTATCCCCTTTCTCTTTGTCTCATATGAGATCACTTGCAATTCATGCAGTTAGCCTCTCTCTATCCTTAAAGAGCAAGCACTATTTTGCTGGTCCAGTTCAACTTTGGGCACTCACACTATTTATCTAACACTGTATTTTCTCACCTACAATATGCACATTTCCTCCTAAAATCTGCCCCCCTCCCCAACTGGGGTGCATGCTTTAAGCAGGGAAGCCATTTTCTTTGCTGAAACCCACCCCCCAAACCTGGAGATACCATGCATGCCAAGATGGTGGGGTCCCGTGTTAATGCTATCATAGCCATAGCTATTGGCTAAGCACTAGCTTGTGTCTGAAGCAGTGAGCGAGCTGCTGATAGTATCTTGATGAGGATTGAGAGGTGGAAACAACATTTACAGGAACTTAAAGAACTACCTAGAGTAAAGAACTAACAGTCTTGCAACTGCCCTTGCAAGGGCCTGGGCCCTAACTTTTTGTGTGACAAACTCTTCCTGTGGGACCCCAGGAGACAGTTTGGGTGAGGCAGCTGGCACTAGGAACTAATGCCAGCTGCGCCATACTTCCTGGACTGTCTATGTTCCTAGGAGGACTTTCTGTCCACAACTCTGGAAAGGTTTTTTTCCTACATTCTACCTTCCATAAACAAGATGTGTGTTGTATCTGGGGGGTGTTGTACAAGAAAATATGGTATTAGAGGAAGCAGCACCACCTAGTGGTAACAAGTGAAGAGATCAGGGTTCTGCCACTGGTGCCACTAGCTTTGCTGTTTGACCTTAAATAATTCACTCAGCGTCTCCATACTTCAGTTTTCCTATCTGTAGGATGTGGGTAACACGTACCTTCAATGACTGCTTTACCACTTGTGAGAAAAGACGTAACCATTGGAGGGAGGGATGAGACTACATGGTTGCACAATAGGACATCAAGTGAGAATGCTGAAGAACGAGAGCCAGCTGGGTGATTTCAATCCACAGCAAAGCTATGTAGGTGACTTACAAATGAAACAAAACAATCATGCACCTCCCTAACCAAAATCTATCCCCTCCCTACCATTTTTGTTGCTGGTTTTTGTGATCTATAGAGACATCTTGATTTTTTTCCCTCCATTTTCCCTTAACCTACTTTCACTCCACAGGTAGGAATTTTATTTGTTTGTTTCTTCCCTCCCACTCCCAAACGTAAGAGAAATGAATAAGCCCAAAGCTATCCAGGATTGCACATCATGTTAAACACAAGTTTAAAACCAAACAAAAGCACAAGCTAAAAACCAAACTTTGCATGTCACCTTTCATGGTCTGGCTGTAGGTGGGCGTATACACCAGCAGAGCCTAGTCTGAAGATAAAGAAGCACACACTACTACTTTGTTTTGTCCAGGCAAAGATGCACAGAATTTAATGGCAAAAAATAGACTAGATGGACATTTCCATCCAAGTCAAGTAGTTTCCCACTGAATCAGGGAAAATTCTGGGGTCTACTTTTTCTTTTCTTTGTTTTTGTTTTGTTTTTTGGGTTTTTTTGTAGGTGCTGATCCTGTCCTCCACCCCACCTAATCCCCCCTCCACACATGCATCAATACTCTGGATTTCTGTGATAATGCATGTTTCAGTTATTGGAGTTGAGCACTGGTGGCTCATTATTGAGCAGACCAGGAAGACTTAGTCAGAAGCTTGTGTTAAAGGGACCCTCCCTCTATCATGAAGTAACAGCCATGATTAGAGAAGCAGATTCTTTGTAGCAGTGGAAAACGGTGAAATCTGATGATAATATTCAGCAGCAGGCACGACATGAGGGCTTGTCCAGTCCACTCCTGGTGTCCTGCTGCTGATAGCAAATGTGTTCCAACTGAGGCTGAACAGCCTTAGATAGAGCAGTAACCAGGTACTATTTTTACCATTCACTTATCCCCCTCTCTCTCTCTTGCTGCTGCTTAGGTCTCCAAGGCCTAGATTCTCAATGGTATCGAGGCACCCGTTTAAGTGCCTAATGTGGCTAAGTAGGAGTTTGGTGCTTCAACACCTTTGAAGATTCAGGCCAAAGTTCTTTACAGACCTAAGTAAGCATTAGGATAAACGAGACACTGCAGGTTAGGTGTCTCTGGGGCAGAGACAAGAATGCCTCAAGTTCCAGTCATGTACTCCATCCACCAAGCTTCAGCTTTGTTCGGAGATAAAAAGCCAAGGCACCTGGGATATGTAGTTCTCCGGAAGTCACTGGAAAGGGTTTTGGTTGTGTGCAGGTAGAGAGGCCACATATCTACCTTTGATGGCGTTCTTTCTATAGCATTCATGTATAGCCTATATTTAATATCTTAATTTTAAAGGGAACATTAAGTGAGAATTACTTGTTGATGCTAATATCAGATCCAAGACAGTAACAAAATGATTCACGCATGGCAGTTACAATATCAGGCTGCTGGCAGAGATATGCATAGTATTACTTTGCAGAGGGATGCGGTTCTGTTGGTCTACGCTTCCCTGTTAAAATGCACCAGTGACAGCAAGAGAAATGAAAACTGCATTTGGTGTGGGACATTTCTGACCAAGAGTTCTGAGGAACAGTTTCCAAGACCCTGTGTCAGGCTTTGCACAAAACCCCCTGCACTGTGAGAAGCACACTAAGTTATACTTGCAGTACACATACATTGTAGCAGCCTAGCTCTTGGGATGCCAGGGATAGGGAGACAGTATCAATGCAGAAGGTTTACAGATAGCCACCTTTGTACTCAGAAAGAAAAAAAAAAAAAACATTTGCTACTAAAGGATCAGCATTTTTTTTAAATGGGAAGTGGAAGTGGTTTATGCTTGCCAGTGCATTGGGGCCTGACCTCCCTTCCAAAGCCATTCACAGGCTAAATTCCTTTAGACATTGCTGGTAATTTTTGCCCATGTAAAGGACAGCATTGCCAGGCCTTTATGCTCTACTTCAAGCAAAGCATAAGGAACTCTAGATTTTTTTTTTTAATAGTACCATAACATGGAAAGCGTGCACAGGCAGAGAGCTGCTTACTTTTTAAACTGGAAACAGCTTCTCTCCCTTATTCAGACAGATTTGTTGATGCACAGTGCCTCCTCTGTCACTTAGCGAGGAAGCCTAAATTAAAGTGTAAAATTTAAGCATGAATCCAAGTACTTCCTCATCTCTCCTAGGTGCCCAGCAGCGACTCCCCTGGCACTTCGAGGGGCACAGGATCGCTCTGCCTGACAATTCAGATTCAAGAATAAGAAATTGTCCAGTCCACATGTGGATTCTTAGCATGTACTGACTGATAGAGCTACAGATACTTCTGCAAATTTCTATTACCATGAAGTCCTGCAGTAGAGATCTCCTCTGGCCTATACCAAAAGCAGAAAACCTACAGTGTTCAACATGGTACATGTTGAAAGCTTGGCTGAAAAATGACCAGTCTAAGACTGAAAAAAAATTCTCCTTGGGGGCTCTAGAAAGGTGACAGGGAGAGGTCTGCTCTGTCTCACAGGACATGGTCTTCTTGCCGCACCAACTGCTGCTTATCATAGCCATACTGTCTAATTGCATGTGGACAAATTTCCCTTTAGGAAACTCCTCTTGCCCCTTGTTTCAGTAATTCCCAGCATTTCCTTTAGGAGCAACATGAGAAGATCCCGTCCCTTGAAAAATACCTGTTTTTCCTATAACAAACAACCAGGACACCTGTATCCTAGCTAACAGTGGCTCACAGAGATTTCCATATTCAGTATGTGATGTAGCAAAGGGCTCTTTTAATCTTGCTAATGAGGCATTGAGCCAGTTGCAATGTGAGAATTGATTAGGCAAGTGACCAGAACTTAACCATTTTACCATAACTAGGCCATTCATTCGAATGGCATTTCATTACCTGTACCCCAATTATGTGGGGATCACACTTTCATCATTTTCAAAAGCAAATGTAATGGTCCTTTGCTCTCAATCTCCTGGGAGCTCCCATTTTCTCTTTATTACCTCTTGTTTTTGATATAGCCCTGATTCACACATCCAGTTCACTTTATTGACTAGCTCAGAGAAATGTTGCCTAGCAGCAATTTGGCCCAGATACAAGTGGTTTAGAAAGAGCTTGCCATTGTTTCAGTTGCCACTTTAGATCAACTCTCTGTCCCTTATCCTTTTGCTGATGGGTATTTGATTATCCTATTATTTTGCAATTGCTGAAAGCATCAGTAAAGATGCAAGTTAAGCAGAAGATGGTGCACCCAATGTTTTTTGACTTGCCAAGTGTCTAAAATGTACAGGGGCAATTTTTAAAATGGATCTTTGGATACTTAATGCATATCATAACCTTGCTCAGAGCAGCGAACTCCCTCAGTGATGTACTGCCAGGTTCTGTTGGTACTTACAAACTGTGGACAGAATGAATGCACTCAGCTCCCCTTCATTACTTATTTGCTCCTGGCCCTGTTTAATCACGCTCCTAGCATTGTACTCAGCAGCAGAGCTGCATCTTTTGTTAGAGGGTCTAAGAGAAAGAGATCAAGATTATGGGTTTCATCACCTCTTGTACTGGCTGAAAGCCAAGGAGCAGAAAGACTCCAAGGGCTATGATTACAAACAAGCCAGCTGCAGGAAACCACTGCAGCACCCCCATGCTAGACATACAAAAGCAGAAAAACTCTTCTGCCTACAAGCTGGACTCACTGAAAGGGAAAACATGGCTTCTAGATGGGTTTTTATTCGGGTCTTCTAGGCCTTGTTCAGGTTTCAGACCAACTGTCTGCACTTATTTTAGATGAGCTGATACTGGCCATAGGTCAGCTGCAAGTGTATGTGCATCCAACACTATTTCAGCTGATTGTGCTTAAAGCTGGGATGTAAGGGTGTGGTGCAATCTCTAGGGCCACTCTTCCAATCCCACTGCTGCAGGCTCACCTGTGAGTTAAAGAAACCAAACAGAAATCACATAGCCCTTATTCACTGCCAGTGGCTGGTCAGTCCAATTGACAGAAGGGTTAAATGCCAGGATACATAAATCCAAAGCTCTCCTAAAAACATAAATCCTTATACATATGTTTGTCTTTGAATCACCCAGTCAGAAGCTAACACATGGATAAGCACAGCTAGATATTATTCCTTTTTCAGTGCATTACCATTCTAATTTGTCCTCTATATTCCTTGTCTTATCTTATCAACTTCAAAGTTACCCAGGCAGCTACTGAATAGTGGGTATTTACAATCAATTTTTAACCACTTAAGACGCTGTCACTTCCCAGTTCTCCCAGGGCAGTAGTTCTCAACCGTTTTTGTATTGGGACCCATTTGTAAACACCGATGGCCAGTCCAAACCCAGTGCCCTTCACTCCCACCTCACTGCCCCCCGCCCCCAGTATATGGGACAGGCAGTGTGTGCGGGGCAAGGGGGGGACCCAAACAGCCTCTTGCAGGTTGAAACTCTGCCAGCCTGAAAGGGAAAAGCTGTGGTTTCCCAATTTTTTCTCCTTTAAAGGAAAATCTATTTACAGCAAAAACTTTATCAGGCACCCATGCGGAATGGGGGGTGCTGGAAAACAAAATATGCTGGTTAACTGAGAGGCCCAAGCAGGGCCTCCTTTGCCTGTTCGGGTCGCCACTTCTCCCGCTGCATCCAGGGTGTCACCACCCCTCCCGCTGCATCACCGCCCCTCCCACGAGCCCCGAGGGACAGGGAGGTGGGACCTGCGCAGCCTGCTATGCCCTGGGCCATGGGGGCTCGACAAAACCAGAAGAGCCACAGTGGGTACTTCTGGTTTCACTGTTACCTGACAAGCCGGCATGCTGGTTAATAGAGCATGCTGGCTTGTAAGGTGCTGGTTAAGGAAGCTTTTACTGTATAAAGTTTGTTGATCCATTTTTAAATTTTGTTTGTGACCCTTTCATATATTCTTGCAACCCACTTTTGCGTCAACCCACAGATTGAGAAACACTGTCCTAGGATATTCACCAGGTTCCTGTTACATTCTCAGGGAGGGCCTGACCCTCAGGCTTTCCTATCACCCTTGAAAGCCAAAAGCACGGCTGAAATGATGCTGGCTGTGCTTCTACACTTGCAGCTTGAAGCTAGTCAGCTGAGTGGTAACTTTGTAGTGCTACCAAGTAGTGCTCTGGTTTCTTTTCCTTCTCCAGGGACCTCTTTTACACAGAACACTGATTTACACTACAGGGTTGGGCTTCTGGCATCCACAGCTCCTCCCCACCACAAAGCCACATCTAGCTAGGCAGGGAGAGCTGAACTTGACATTCATGGGTTGCTTCCATCCTGGAGGTAGGAAGGATGCTGTGTCTTGCATGCAGAAGGAGGGGTGAGCAAGGAGGAGCATCTCAGACTGGTTGTAAACAATATAAAACCTTTTCCAAGAGAATCTCCTCCAAGCTTGAGGTTTGGTAGGAGAAGAAATGAGGATGGATGATAAAAAGAGCCAAGGGGAGGTTGAGGGGGAGCAAGTATAAGATGAACAAAGGTTTCCCTGTCTCAAAATTCTACCCCTCCCTAGTAGGAACCTACATGCACTTCCTGCAGCAAATGGTGGATTTGACTGACATGTCTTCATTTGTTGCTTAGATGAAAACAATTCTTGTACTGAAAAATTCCCAACCACATTGGGCCAGCTGCTGGGGCAAGCAGCATGGCAGGCTGCCCTGGAGAGAGGAACCTGACTGACCACAGCTCTCAACTGTCTAAAAATGACAGAGACAAGTATCCGCCCTCTGTGCAATTCTTCAGAAGCGCTCAGCTGTGAACAATAAATAATACAGGAGCATGATTTGCTGGGGGGCAATATAATGACTAATAAAATACCATCTTTGTGATGGTGACATCTGAACGTGGGTAGGCATAACTGACACATGCAGGAGGTACGTTCAAGTGGAGCCAACTTCAAGCAGCTGGTGAAGACAATCAGTATCTAACAACACAGGGTAGGCTCTGAGGAGCAGCCACTGGGATTTGAACAGCTAGTTAGCACCGTTCCCACTCCAAATGATGACACTCACTTCTGTGTCAAGGAATCAGTGCCAGTGACACTGTTCTCAGATGCACATGTGACTCTCTCCCCACCTGATTCTAATAGTTACATGCTGCTCCCTTGCAAGTACAGGAAAGAAAACTAAATCATCTCCTTTAAACAAGAAACTTCCTGGAAAAGCCCCACAGAGCTTATCTTAGAACTCTCTATCCCAGCCCCTCGTTCTGAATTAATGTAATCGAAGAACTATGCACGTTCCACGTTACGCCCACATAGCAGCATAACAAGGTAAGTTTGTACCCTCTATATACTCCATGGAAACCAACACTGCTACACATTTCACCACCTGCATCAGGCATTGTGTGGGCCTCATCTACTTTTGTGCTTCCGTGTCATTCTACCAGATCACAGGCTAGTCTGTATGTTGAATCTATGGTAGAGATTTGGGTAATTGAAGCTGCATTGGTGTAAATGGCCCCCAAGCATCAGTAAACACTGTCCCGCTTGTCTGTCACCTTTATCATGAGCTCCCAGAGACTGAGACCTGCTTGTTTTATTTGCAAAGGACCAAGCATGCCACTGACGACTAGTGCTGAGGAGTGGGATTTCTGACAAGTCATTTCTGAAACAGCCCAAGATTGTTTGTAGTGAATACACAGATCATTTTGAAGTGGGGGGGTTTACACATTTTCAACCAATAGCTTAATTTCACTTTTGGACATATGGTTTTTAATCTAATAGAGAGCTTAAAACATTGAGCACAGCACACACGACAGCAGGGGTCCCAATTGCTCATTGCCCGATTCACATTTTGATAAAAAAAATCTTCTTGCAGGTTACAGCATTACCTGTTCCTTACTGCCCAGGCCACACACAGTTGTGCTATGGACTCTCCTTCTGCTCCACCATTTGAAAGTCTCTGTGGGGGAAGGGGTGACAGCACTTGTCAGCTGGGGAAGTAACATTTGGGAACTGATGTATTTTTGGCGCCAGTAAGTGACACATAGCAGGTGGATGCAAAGTGAGCCAACTGCACGTGACCAGCCATGGATCACAGAGCCAGTGATCTGGGGACTGCAGTCATGGACCTGTAGCACCAGAAGAGAGGGCAGTGCTGAGGGCAGGGAAGGTGGGGCAGACAAACACTTATACTGGCTTAAGTGTGTGTGGGAATGTACTGCTCGTGAGCAGGCATCAGCTGATGTGCAGTAATGGTTTGTCTGTCTGCTCCCAACCCACAGTAAGTGAATCTGAACCACAGTGATTTGCTCCTGAATCAAACAGGTGGTAAACTGCCAGCTGAGCTTTCATTTACCTCAAAAGAGAGTGGACAGACAAAAGAGTTGAGCTATAGTAATTTCTCCACCTTTTTGAGCAGTATAACTGTTTCATTAGTTCGTGCCCCTCAGACAAGGACCAGTGTGTTCATCATTACCACAGCTCATTAAATAACATTTGAAAGACCTGGAAAGAGCCAGTCTACTCTACCTTCAAATCTACTCTTATCAGGTCACAACTCCCAGTTGCTGTTTAATTTCTGTAAAAGCTACTTAGTTCCTATAGGAAAAAATAGTCTGTCAATGAAATACCTGTTCTTTTATTTTTATTACCCTTTATGAAAATATTCTCAAGTCCTCCATGCCTGGAGTTCAAGCAACCCCCAAATCAAGCCCAACCCATCACCATCAAACCCACCTCTAATCATCAGACTCTATATCGGACACAACTCTGCCTTAATAATACACGCAAAATCTGTTAACACTCTCCAGTGCCACAACAATCAATACCCCTCACAAGAAAACCATCAAAACTCATGGATCCTACACATGTACATCACAGAACACAGTATATCTCACAGTGAACCAAATGCCCTCATGGAAAGCATGTGGATGAAACTCTATAGCAGGGGTAGGCAACGTTTTTTGGCCAGAGTGCTGAAAAACACCACAATGCCTACCTCGGAAGGTGCCAGAGTGCCAGCATGGCAGAAAAACAAGATGAGGGCAAGGGGTACATGGCAGGATGACCTGCATGTGCCCCTTGCCCCCCACCCAAAGTCCCTTGCCCCTCATCCAAAGCGTCTGCCCCCCAGCCCTACTGCCCCTTGCCCCCCACCCAAAGCCCGTGCCCCCCAGCCCGGGCTCTGTGGCTGCCAGCAGGTACCCCGGCTCTGGGTAGCTGCTGGAGCCCAGGCTGCTCCCGGCAGAGCTTGCAGTATCCCATACACATAGCCAGCCCACTGCTTGCTGCAGCTGCCCGGAACCGGGGCTGGCTACAAACAGCCATGCCGGGCTCATCACCTCCGTGCTGGGAGTGGGGGAGAGACCGGGGCTGCGCTGCCTCAGGCCCCTCCCCCACTGCCCGCTCCCAGGCACACCTGCATGCGCCGGTGTGGAGCTGATGCAGGAGCCCAGCAGAGATGTTTGGAGCCTCCCGGCTGCAGCCGGCCCAGGCTCTGGGGAGCTGCTGCCAGCCAGATCCCAGGCTGCTCCCAGCAGGCAGCTGGGACTCCGCAAGCCCTGCTGGGAGCAGCCTGGGCTCTGTCACTGGCAGCAGCTACCTGGAGCCGGGGCTGGCCGCGGCATCCCAAGCAAAATGGCCTCACGTGCCACACTTGGCATGCATGCCAGGGGTTGCCGACCCCTGCTCTATAGGAACTACACACCAGAATTAACTCTAAGACAAAAAAAAGAAAGAAAAAGGACAGAAATATAAACATCAGCAGGAGCATATTTTTCACAGAACAGCCACTTCCCCCTCTTACCTCACAATCCTTGTGCTCAAAGGCAATTTGCAAAACACCCGAGGAAGATGGGCCTGGGAACATAAATTCATAATCCTATCGGATAACAAAAAAATCTGGTCTGAATACAGTGTTTTATGGCTAATTACAACCTAAAAAATACTGCTACTAATCTCTCTGCATTTCACAAGTAATAACTACCCTCTCCACTCTTCAGTGGTCTCACTCTGCCACAAACTAGACAGTCTATTCTACCGCACTTTTGTTTTATAAGAACTCCTGATAAAAACTCTTCACTCCTAGTTCACAGCCCTCCCGTCTATCCCTCCAAGCACATTGTTTGCATTTATAGTCTTCGCTCTACTATTTAGCTCAGCCTACATCTCTTTCTTAGACCTGAGAAAGGGTACTTGATGCCCAAACCTTGTTTAACAGCTCCCTAATTATACAGTTGATCCAATAAAAGACATCACAAAATATCTTTGCCTCCTGTTCAGTTCTACTGGTCTTTTGTGTTACTTTGACCGATCAGTTCAGTTCATAATAGCTACAATATTTTGGGAAACTATTGAGCTGCCAAAGATAGACTATGAGGCAGTAAATAAGTATTGAACAAAATAGTTTATATAAAAATTATAAGCATCCAAAGGGCCCATCAGATTAATGTATGCCTCTGAGTTTAATATAGCTATTAATCTTGGTCATTTATAAATGGAACAAGCCCGTATGCCATTTGAGGCAGGTAGCAGCTTCTTGCTGCTTATATCCCAGTTATCTCGATAGGGCTCTGGGTCCATGACAAGACATACAAATAACTGCAAAGAGAACTGTAAATTTAGAACTCAGCAGACAAACATGTAAGAGATGGGGACAAGGGGAACGCTGGGACTAGGGGGTCAGTAACCACATCTCCAGGAGGCCTGAAATGCCTCTACACTAACGCCTGTAGCATGGGGAACAAGCAGGAGGAACTCGCCCTCCTGCTGGCTGACACCAGCCCGGACATTGTGGGGATTACGGAGACTTGGTGGGACTCCAAGCATGATTTGGCAGTGAATGTTGAGGGCTATAGGCTGTACAGGGGGGACAGGATAGGAAGGGGGGGGG